CGAGGGTCGTCGCATAACACAAATAGGAGTTCTGAATGCTTGGTGAGCGTTCAAAGAGTATTTGAAGGTGAGGTCTTCTGTCTTGCGTAGTGGCGCGTCGGTTGGCAGCATCATGGACAGGATCAGCTTCGAATCAGTAATCCACCGCTCTTTCTTAAATAAATGATGTAGTAAACTTTGAGTGCTCAAAGAAAATATCACTCATGATTGATCATGTTCAGTGAGCCAGAATTCATTAGTTACACCGAACAGGGAAACGCAAGGAATGCTTCAAAGAAAGAAGTTTGCTTCTGAATCATTTGACAAGGTCAATCAGATCGCAGAGCAGCTCCACAGCTCATGTGGTAAGGACATCATATTGAGTGGAAAGCGGAGCTCAAAAGGCGCAAAAAGCTCATGCTGGAGCAGCATTTGCACCCAAAGCTCTGCTGTTCTTCATTCATGCGAGAGATTACCCTAACCGATTGGAAGCTTTGCGTTCGAAGCTGTGGTTAGGTAGATGTGCGAGGATCTGGAGGGGTATCGGCTCCCTTGCTTGAGTCCCCTTGTTCGTCCGTTCGTCAAGCCCCTGCAAGTTACGTCTAAGTCATCGCGTTCTGGATCAAGGACCAGGACTTGCTCGGGAATTATCCGCCTACCAAGGGGAGGCGTCCTGTCGTCCTGCTACACGCTTTTCGTCACTGCCACCAGATGTCGACTTGTACGGTCCGAGATCTCTCGCCTAAGTTTTCTACTGCTAGGCGGAGTTTTGCATTGGAGCCTTCATAATTTTTTTCTACCATTTATATACATCTGCATGTCTGAACGGCTGAGAGTAGGCCACGTCAGGTCCCTCTGATCCAGAGTGGCTATAGCCGCGATGATGAAGACTCAGCACGAGCCCTGGCAAGGCACTGTTGAGATTCCAGGGAGCCAGAACAGCAATAAAACAGCCTCTGCACCTCGCACACTATGCTCAGCCGTCTACGGCGTCGGACGGTATGGCGACGGTGAGAGGCGAAGAAATCTCAGATTGCGCAGGACGCCTTGGATTTGGAACCATGACAGCACTCCTTCCACACGACACGGGGAGCTCTCCTACTTATAACAACAACGTGAGAACAGTGTCTCCATGAGCTCCTCTTGTGCTGCACGACACAGGAGACACACTAACGACGAGTGAATGATGAAACCCCCATCACTCGTGGTGAAAAGGTTCCATCGCGAAACGTCAGCGGCGTTGGTTTCGTCGTGCACTTCATCTGTCGTCCATCTCTTGAGGTCCTGTCTCCTCGCTTTGCCAATCCACGCCTGCGACTTACGCCCATAAAGACCATCTCTCCCGACAATTGCTAATCATTCACAACGAAAAGTCCTTTTACAAATTCGTTGTTGGAGATTTCGACGCTAGGCTTGGCGAAGCACAAGAGGAGGAATTCAGGAGTGGGGTACAGGAACGAGAACGGAAACCGCCCTGGTCCGGACTGGAGCTGGACTTTTGTCCGCGGCTCGACTCTTCCATGAAAACTCTTTCTTCCAAAAAATGGAACATCGCCGCTGGACATGGCAGTGTAAAAACGGTACAACTCATGCTGAGCTGGACCACATATCGACAAACAGAAAGTCGTGATTACTATAAGTTGGTGCGGCCACAAGCTGGAAAAGATTTTTTAGTATCGCGCAGAGAGCTCGAAGCATGTTGTATACGACGGATATGTTCTAAATGGTGCTGTGTCCCGATATGACTGGCAGGTTTTGGATGACTCGACCGAGGACGATGATGCGCTGCTTCGGTGGTCCCTTCTTTTGTGCTGAACAGGCCAAGCTTCGCGAGTGGATACCTCCGCTCGCATTTCAGATGTGACGAAGGATATTTTCAAGACAAGAAGAAACGTGAAGTTTGACCAGAACGCCACATCTTGAAAGGCTGCAAGCGAATATCAGCTGCAGACAGGCAGTGCAGGAGACCTGCAGCTATACAGGGAGAGGAGACTACTGGAGGCAGCCACGAACAGAACTGGTCTGAGAAAATTCCATCGGGGTCTTCAAGGCTACAGTATTCTTCATAAGGGATGGTCTTCTACCGCCCAATAAGCTTGCCAAGTGTGCTTTACAAGCTGTTCACGGAGATCATTCTAAATTCTAACCCGCATATCGCCAACGTTGGATAAAGCTCAACCTGTAGAGCAGGCCGGATTCCGCAGGGATTCAGCTTCTTAGATCACATCCAAGCGATCGCAATCGTGATCGAAGTGTGCCGAGAATTCCGAATAGTTCTTGCCATTACCTTTGTTGACTATGAAAAAGCTCTTGACAGCGTCTAAGCGAATGCGGCCCTGTCAGCACTGGTCGATCAAGGACCTCGACTATATAAGAATATTAGCTGGCTGCAATAGCCGCTGCAGCGCGACGGTGAAGCTGTTCCAACGATCTTTTGCCATCCCCGAGGAAGGGTGTGAGACAAGGCGACACTATTTCGTCGTAGCTGTTCACAGTCGAGCTGCAGTGGGTTATGAAGTCGTTAAACTGAGACAAAAAGGCATCCGTGTGGATGGACTGATCCTCACAAATATCCACTTTGCGAAAGCCGACGAACGTCAAATTAAGATCGATGGTACACCTATCAAGGAGACCTCGTCCTACATTTATCTCGGGCCGTGAATATGGACAACGACATGAGGGAAGAACTAGTGAGACGGCAGAAAGTAGCGTGGGTAGCCTTCGAATCTCTGAAAGTGGTCACCAACCATCTAGCTGACCCGTAACTTCGCGCTAATCTGTTCGATTCCACAGTTCTTCCTGCGCTCTGTTGCGGGTTGGACACTTGCGTGACCAGCGCATCCACGACAAGGGCTTTGAACACAAGTCACAGAGCGCTCGAGCGATGTCTTTCGAGGTTCAACCGACTCAGGCAATATCGAGCCGGACTCCACAGCTCTGATATGTGCAGAATGTCTCGACTTCGCGATCCGGTGGAATACATGAAGAACGCAAAATTTCGGTGGTCCGGTCATATACTGAAAAGAGATGATGACAGATTAACAAGAAAAGCGGGCTCCCGTAGGATCTTCTAGGTCTAGGGGTAGGCCTGCTGTGAGATGGGGAGATAGGCTTGTCGATTACGTGAAGCAGCTGCGAAAGCAGAGCAGCTGAAAGATTCCTCACATCACCATCTTCGTCGAATTTTGAGTCTACCGCGGATGGCGATCGCGAAATACAGTAGCGAACGGTTTGTTGCTGATGCTCGCATATGACTGATGACGTATATGAACATGTTCCAGAAAACTCTGAGAGAAATCAGGACCAAAGCGAATTTTTTTGTGCAGATGCTTCTGACACAACAAAAGACAAACAAAATGCAAGCGTATAGATCTTCATAGTTGATCACTTTATTCATTTTTCATTTTCAAACCCGTCATAAAAATAACAAAACATATAAAGAAATCAGACAACTTATTGAACAATACTAGTATATTGAACTGCTAACTACTATATTTACAATCACTTAAATTAGAATAATGTCGGAGTCTTCAGAACAGGTTGCCCAAATATTTTAACTATACTTTTATTTACAATGCTCAACTAATGAGCTCCGTTCCTTTGCGCCTCTCACACCTGTCAATATTTTCGAGATATCAGAAACTAGCTCCTATTATGCCAATTTACAATAACAACAATTTTCAAACGTGACAATGGCAAAAATAAAATATTATACGTGAATCAGAGAAGAACGCTTGTAAAAATAGTCTCTCGGTATACTAGACAGAGATAGGGGATTTCCGTCGGTCGATTGTATCTTCGGGAGGAGCTGGATCGCAAATTGATGGATTGTAGTAGAAGAACGCGAACGTATATTCGAGGCGACCTTTTTCAATGGTCATATCAACGTATCCTGAAAGATCACTACCTCTTAAGTATCTCGCTCAATGGCGTGACCATGCTGCTAAGAATGAAGCCTGTTCCTGACCTTCTTCAGGTTCCACTTCAAATTCCGTGTCAGCTCCCGTCTCGGCAGCTGCCTTCAATGTTTGTTCCATACCAGCCATCAAATAACTCCTTGCCACAATATCACTCTCACGGAATTGAGCACAACAAAAACTTATCTAAATAAACAATGTCATAAATAAGTTAATCCTCGGAAGTTTTTGAGGCGATTTCCAAGGCGATAACATGATGCAGGGGTCAAACTAAGTTCGTGAACAGTTACGGAAAACTATTTCGCAACAGTATGGAGGCAAAAAGTGGTATACCCCGATACTGTAATGCATTCACTGTGCATAATCTACATCACTTCTGTTTACTCAATGCTTATTATTCGTTATAATTGGGCTTATACGACTGATAACCAGGGGAATTAACCAATGTTTACCACAAACATTAACAGTATAGTGACGAAAATAGCAGTGGCGCAATCGTAAGACTCGAGGAAATTGCATTTCGGTAATTCTTCGCTCTAACACTGCCTTGACAACCCTCCAACCAATGCTTTTTGCTGTCTTCACCAGTAAATTTTGTAAAAAGTAAATGAATTCCGCACCCCTCCCTTGCATGCGCTTCAAATTGAGCACAGTTCGAACACATGCTTAGCCTTCGAAATACTAGGCGCTAACCACTCATTCCTAGTGCCTTGAAAGCTCACGTCGTAGCCGTTGTGTCAAACAAACCACGAGTATTAAGAAGCTGCATCGCTGTAGAAGAAGACCTGTACGGATCGCCCCTTTGGCTTCAACATTCTTTCGATTAAGGCAGAAGCAGAGAGGAGGTATGTGAAATGGTTTCGATAATTCACGTCCAAAGAAAGGATCAAGATTGCTTTTTTGGAGTCGGACAGTCGTAATAAGGCTGCGAAGATAAAGACAAGACTTATACAGCTGTGTAAGGGTACGGTTAGGCGCAATGCAAACAAGATTGTTTAGAATCAAACTTTAGCTTTCAATCTTCATTTCTCTAGCACAGCTGAACACCCTAGTCTTGAGCAAAAAGGGATGAAACTGATCACCGACCTGTATAAATGTCCGAAATGGTGCTGATGAAAGCATATGAAGAGCATACTGTAGGTCCTGGCTGGGACATGGCAACGGGGTAAGCTGAANGACGAAACTCACAGTTATCGATTCTACCATTACATCAACATGGAGTGATAGTTGCTTGAGATTGGGTAACGGAGGTGGATTTGGGCCTAGCAGTCGCCCAAGGTAGCCACCAGGGGTAAATGGAGAACAATCTAAATTGCGATTTCTGCAATCGATCGTCGATAAAAGTAACAACTCCTATCCGTTTTAAGAAACCATAAAGTGATGAAATGTAAAACTATTATTAGTGTAATGAAACTATTAGTCAGCCAATTCCTGGTTACTGCCTCACCTCCAACGTTAGTCGTCGAGAGTGGGTTCCGAAACGCATCCACTTCCTTCATAAGTATAGTGACCTCAGTAAGATTTGTAGCAAGACGTAGAAGACGTGGTGCTGACGACGCGACAAACAGAAGTGGGCGACGTCGCCCACGCGAGTCAATCAGACGACACTCAGACGGATCGTCGCCAAGCTAAACCAGAAGTAGAGATAATCCAAAATCACATTAGTTTGCTTCGAAAACTAATTCGCAAGGTGTCAATCAGTTGGAAGCAGTTAATCTACTACGCAGTAATAAGACTGCTTTGTCATAGGGTTCTCTTAATGTTTCACTATATGTAGCCCCGTTCCCTCTTCAGATCTTTGTGTATTCTTCCCTTCGAAACCCTAAAACGATAATCGGCTTTGCTAATTCAAAAGTGCAAGCTGCTTGTATGACGGAGAAAAGCTCATGCTGTCCCAGAAACTCCAACCCACAAATTTGAGCTTCTGTTGTTATTGAGGTACGCCCTAGAATCTAGGAATAGGCAGTAGTAGAAAGGCGGACAGTATCAAATATCCACGCTTCGGGTCTACCTAGCCCATCAAGCTACCCATTCCCTCGAAAGACCTCCGAACTAGACGTACTATCCAAGGATACACTTCTGTGTATTTATCGAGACGACGTTAACAGGAGGGAAGGATATGCACCGGGAGTATCTTACGGCTGCAAAAATTAAGACGATCTCGTGGCTCGGTCAACACCAGGCATTATCTTTTCAATATTTTTGAGTAGCGTCGAAACCCGTGATATTACCGATATATTTTTGCTTCCAAGTAATCTATTTTTGAGCACCGATGTTTTCAATTCCATGTAAGTTAAATCCCCATCACAGGTGATTAGGGCCACGTTACTTTATATAGGAGAAATGCTTGCCTAGTGCGTCATCGCCGCGCTCCTATCAGCGTAATGGAACGCGATCAAGCGCTAATCGCTGACCCGTGTGGATTAGACGAATCCACAGCAAACACTTTTAACGATTACGGTACTACTTAGTAGTTACGGTGGCGTAACAAATCCTCAACAAACGTCAACAAATTTGCAACAATATGCTTCCCACTAATAATCACGAGAGTTAGTGGAAGCCTTGTTAGATGCGAAATTCAGGAAATCCGTTCCTCTCAGGTCCTCTCGGACGACCAAGTTCGCTATCTCTCATACACTTTTTCTGTGACAGGAACGATACCAGTATCAAATAGGCCATCCAACCGGCAAATAGGTATTGGCATTTCTACCATGAACGAAAAACTGCTTGATGATTGAGCTTGGACTACCCTATCTTCATCGCTGGATCTCGATTTATAAACAAGGAAATCAACTGGATGGATCCCAGGAGGTCGGTCTCAGGATTCTCCACTCACACGGGAGTTTCTGCCGTGTTTCAGGATCTCGTTCCGGTGACCCGTTCCCAGCTCATTAGACAAGCAATTACTGGTCACCATGCCACCTAGCCATCCTGCCGGCGATGAACCTCAGCTCTTGCCAACAAGTGTCAATTCACCACGGGATACCGTACAGAAAAGCTAAGTGTACAAAAAATACTGTCGAACATTTCCCAAAAGCCACTTTGAACCATACATAATATGACCCCTGCACTACAATCGAAAAGCTACGAAACTTTGAGCTCTCCTTTGGTATTTGCACAGCAAGCTTCGCCTATACATAGTTAAAGTTCGCAGCATCCGGTCGTTTGCCAACATCTATACACCGATGTGGAGAACCGAGGTCCCCCTCAGACACAATTATGTTGTATTGGCTTGGGCATCCCTATCAACACTTCTCAATAGAACTTTCCATTCTTCCACTTCTGCTCCCGACAGGATAAAACCCTCTTGACTCTCGGTGAATGTTAAATAACATAGATAATCTTCCGAATGTTATGCAGTTATGGGATTCCACAGAAATTCTTTTAGAGGTCAATCCTAGATTGAAAATTTTCAGTGATAGAATCCCTTAACCTCCTCAACTATACCAGTTAGTGAAGTGCTTTGATCTGAAGTTCAAACTGGCCTATAGTGTAAGAACTTTCAAAAATCTTTTATCTTGAAGTTTGACAGGAGCGGAAAGTGCCACTCCAATTAGGCTCTCTCCCGAAGTCTCTCCCCCCCCCCCCAGCTTATGGTTTGAGCCTAACGGCTTAAGGCTTGAGCCTGACGGAGCATGACCAAATAAAAAAGGTAGCGTGGAACTCTCCTCGGCAGTTCCCAGTGAAAAGTGAAACATATTTGAGAAGTACCTATGAAGGGACATGGTCGTTTTTCTTGATATCGTTTTGATGAATTCATCTTCAGATGGCGAGCCCCTCGAAGCAACACAAGAAAACTCAATGCGCTGGCTTCTAGTGAGATATTATTTATAAGGTCAAGGTGGCGACGTGTCAGCAGGAACCAGATCGATGAATATGTATGTGTTCATTAGTCCAGTGAGAGATGGCAGGGTGAGTTCTGGGAGGATGCACCGAAGCGGAGTTAATTCATGCATTCGCGGTAAATCAGGTGCGATAATTACTTCGGTAATTATGCCCACCATTACAGGTGCTACTGCTTGTGGCAAAGCAGTGGACAGTTCAGCTCATTTACGTCATCTTTCCTGGGTAGTCATGAATTAAGCCTTTTGCTTCCGGTGAGCTTGGCTAGCACCAATATTCGGTTCAGGAACATTAAGCCAAATTGGGGTCGCACAGTGGCTAGGAGCAGGCAAACAAAGTGTTCTGCTTACCCATCTATCCCCAAATAAGCAGTAGATTCGTAGGACGAGTTGAACCGCAGGAGCTAAACACTGACCTCTCTTCCCAGCACTGTCCCTTCCCCATCCCTTCCCTTGGCATCCTTTTTCCCATCCATAGTGTCAGATTAAAAATTTTAACTGAAACATACGCCTACTTCACTGCAAATTTTGTTAGAATAAATTCAATCATCAGATTAAGTTTTATATATGGAAACAAGACTTTAGCTTCCCACAAAACTGCGAAAGTCTTCTACTCAGAAATTCATAAGAGGTTTACAGGAAAAAAGTGGAAGTGACTAACGCACGGCTTATCTTTCTTCAATTCTTGAAATCTTGGTGATCAGTTTAACTTAGGCCACTATGCAAGCATTAGTCTTCAACTATTCCCTATGAAGAAGAGAAAAATCAATAAATCGATGAAACTCACGAGCATCTTATCGTAGAAACACAGACCACTTCGCCGTATAGCCCGATGCAGTCGCCGTGAACATTGCTGGAAAATTCGTTCTTATTCGAGAAATTCATTTGTATAGGGGATTTTCTTTTTCTTTTTAAAATTTGGATGCCCCTCATTTTTCACAGGAGTTCTCGGAACGGAACAGCCATAAATAGCTACCTGATGGCTTGATTGGAGAAAATATTTACTAGTTCTAATAAAAGCTTAGGGACCCAAGGGAGTTATAGTACGCCAATTATACTCGGTGATGAGTTTACTGTAATTCGTACAGTGGTCAGTCCGTCTACAGTTTTTCTTCAGGATCCATCATGCCTGAGCATCTGTCACAAAAGTTGAGTTCTAGGACGTCACTCACTTGCAGATGGACCATCAATCAATGTCAATCCATTATCTGTCACTCAATTACAACCAGACTATCGTAACCTTTTACACATCCTGTTCACCTTCTCCACTCATAGCCGGAAAGATTCTTGAGGCTATAAGACAAGTGAACACTCAGTCAGTCTGACAGGAAGAGTGAGCTGAATTCCTCTCAATTTATCCAAGACCTCGTGCCCTCTTCCTTCAGTCCTTCATTCACATTTGACAACTGTCGATCATTTTGTACAACGGGCCAGTTTACCGTAGTCCTTTTCTTTTACTTCGCTTTCACCTCACTAGTTCCTTACAAGTACCCTCTGCTTTCATGCTCTGTTTCGGACTGTTAAATATATTGCCGTATAAAATAAAAAGTCGTATTCAGTTGTGATTTGTGGAAAACGAGGTGATTCTATGGCTCGAAGTACTGTTCGTTCGAGGTTTCCGACTTCTGAGAGTCGAAAATTTCAGGTGTTTTTTAGTGATCATTCAAGCTTCTTTCACAGAGAAACAAATGAAGACTAACTTACTGTGAAGTTTATGGATTCCTCGTAGGTCAGAAATGTATTCAGCATTTGAATTAATTCATCAGGTAAAGTACTCAGAGAAGTATGCTGTTGTATCATACTGAAAATGATGGTGTTAAAAAACCATAGCCAACAAATCCAAGGGCGTCTGTAACAAATCGAAAGCCTATCAAAAGAAATAGTTGTCGGAGTTCGGTAGCAAACAATATCATCGTCATTAAAATGGAAGAAAATAAGTCAAACCAGGAGTTTTAATCATTCTTTAACTTTTTCTTCTGTGTCAACGAGTGGNGTTATGCAAGCCGTCATGATTTTGGAAAACCCTATTCTTATAAAAGAATAGCCAAGGCTTCAAGGAAAAACAAAACAGCATCGCATTGAGATTCTGAGAATGAAGGGAGTTCAAAACGTGAGAGGAATCTGAAAATCCAGAAAATTCAGAGCTGTGGATAGCTCAGAACATGCTCTATGCCCTGTTCCGAAGTGAAACTTGGAGCTATGTGGGAGAACACGGGAAAATCGCTTCAACAGAATGCTTATTTAGAGGAGGCACAAGTAAATAAAGGTAGCAAAGTCAACAATCATTAAAATTAAGGAATCTCAATTCGTTTTCCTGTCTAAGTCGCTATGGATACACCACCTGGGACCAATCACTGCTAGCATCGCAAAGTGGGTGTGGCCAAACAGTGCTTCGAAGTTATCCGTGAAAACAACGATATCCCAGCAGAACAGGAAGTAGATTAGGAGTCAAATAAATTGGGCAGTGAGGCCATCAAACATGACTTCTTTGTACTGTTGTGAACCATTTTGCATAGAGCCAGAAAACCTCGAAGTCAAGGGAAATCAACTTGAAAAATACGAAACTAGCAGTATTTGACAGAATTTTTCGCAGCTTTCGATTGATTANCTGGGATAGATTACTAAGGCAAGTCGTTCAAGTTTCAGAGATATAATGTTCCCAAAAGGAGGAGTATTCGATAAAGTTTTTAGAGTAGTCATCTTTCAATTTAAAAAAACAACGCTTCTCCTCTGTTACCGTTCTTCGTTGGGATTTTTTTCAAAAAAAA